CAGTGGTATGGTGCTGAAATTTCCAGCGGTGATCGTAAATCGTATGGCAGTTTCCTCCCTGGCAGTGAATAAATGTGAGAGTGACAGAGTTGTTAATTATGCTGTGCACTTTGTTTCAAGAAGGTGCTCTAAGTTCCTTGTGATTAGCACAGGAAGAGAGAGAGACCTGTATGAAAGCAGAAGCTTCTGAGGAACCTCCTGTCTTCATGAAGATCATCTTCTTCTCCACTCTCAGAGTGTCACTTACACTGCCCAAGAGAAACGTAGCATTTCTGAACATAAGAATAAGGTTTTCTGTTTCTCCTTCATTTGCCTCTAACAGTGACCAAGAGTGTTGGGTGTGTGGTAGGACCTCTTGACATTTCCACGTGTAATGTGTTGCTATGAGTAACTAGCATATTCTCTGCTAATTGGAAATAACCAGGAAGGTGTTTGGCCCCAAGTTACCAGTTCATATCCTTCGTGCTAAACTCGTATCCAAAAAAATGTGCCTAGCAGCTGCTTGCCAAATGTATCTGTAATTTAAAAAGCAAATAATGTGAATCAGAATAATTAGGTAAATTAATGGAAGAAAAATCTACTTAGGGCTATTAAACACAGAGACAAGTCTTTTGATTCCGAAGATCTCTGAGCCATGCCAGTTCAGCTCCAGGCTGGGAGGGTGCTGGGGAAGCCTCTACTCCTCGTCGTACACTTGCCCCTGCTGGGCAGGGACGGGTGCCAGCGGCAGAGACCAGAGCAGGCTGTCAGATACTCAGATTAACCTACCAGTGAGTGCTGGGCTGGCTCTGCTTTCCTCTGCAGCTGAGACCTGCAAACACCCACCAGCCTGTGAGGACGACTCTGCAATGCAGAGAGATAGCAAAGGAGGGCAAGAGCTGACTCTCCACGTGGACAGAAGATTATACTGATATGGAATATTGTTTGGCTAGGAATCCATGCTGTGTAGTAAATTAAGTGAATTAAACACAGGATCCTTACGATGAAGCTTTCACTTTCAAACATACGCACTGAAGCTCAACAGCGATTTAGCACCGTGCTCAGACTGCGGTATCCAGCTCGGCACGCAAGCCTTAAAGAGAATTTGGGACAGAAATACTTCTTTGACAAAGAAGAGTTTAGGAAGCAGTAGCAATAATGGATATCTTTCCTACCCATCAAATAAAGATAAAAATAATATAAATAGTAGCAATCAATGAGAAACACATTTTTCAGTCTTCTACATGCTAATACAAACCGATAAAACCGTATTTGAAAAGCAACAAGACAGTCTGCACAGCAGAGTAAAGCCAGGGAGTACCTGTGCAGTGTGCAAAGTCATTTGTAAGCGCTACTGGAAGGGAAAACAGGCAATCCCTAATCTGCTTATCCAGTGGCACGTGAGTGTAGATGTAAGAGTACTGAAGCTACAGAGATCCCTGGAGTTGCGACAGTGAGAAGAGGGGCGTATTCTGTCCTGAAAGAACATAGTATGGAAAAGTGCTTTATTTTAAGTCTATTGGAATTAAAAAACTGAGAATAGGTGAAAGGAAGTTTAGTGACTGCTCGGCTAATGAAAATGTTGGCTTAATAAAGAGTAAAAATTTGTATTTCCCAATGCTGTTCTGGACTTTGCTATTTGTTGCAGATGAGCGGACCTCAATTACAGTAACTGAGCTGTATGTAAATAGAATTGCCTGCTCACTGCAGGTTCGCTGCAGGACTAGATTCGTTATTTGAATTTCCAAATCTTCAACAGTACTACAAGTTCATAATGTGTGAGAGCAAATTTAACTGATTTAATAGGGGAAGACATTTTTGTAGCACTGCTTTCTACGGACATAAAGAGTCTGCAATGCATTAGTTAAGATATTACACATATAGAACAAAATTTCCCCGGTCTTTATTGAGCTTTGGATCAAGTCCTCACTGGGGGGAAAAAAAACGCACCAGATTATCACACAAATACAATATTTGTTCTCCAGATATTCTCCTTCAAACAATGTAATTGAGTTCAATAGCTCCATGTTTATTATTATGGCCTATGCCTAGACATTAGCATAACGAAAAACATGGGGGGAAATGTCATACATACTCCCACACACCTATGCAAATATAATTATAATTGCTCTCTGTATTTCACTGGAGACCTTTTGTGGAATCATTATGCTTATTCTGTTTAAAAAATATCTGTTATGCAAAAAAAATGTTTGAAACAGAACTTTTTTTTATTTAGTATTAAACAAACAGGTCCTGCCAGGACTGTTGATACTACCTCGCCTATGCATACATACACACGTATATGTTTATGCATATCACACTACAAAGCTTACCTGCGGAACACAAACCTACACTGCAGCTACGTGAAGAATGTTCTCACTAATCAGCATCCACTTGTTGCACCTCTCCTGAACGGACCCAGTCTCTCTTACATGTGCTGTTCCGTGAGCATCCCTTCACACGACAGGCCTTTGCACAGCATTGCGAATTCATGGAGGAAATGAACTCATTCCGTCCTCCCCATATAGCTGCGTGAAGCCTGGCACAACGGGGCTGTGATTTATTTGGGGCCCCTGGGTATGACTGCCATACAAGTACTGACTAATAACGACAGACCACCAGAGATTGCGGAGATGCACTGGTTGCAAGGAAAAATCAACCCTGCTCCATAATAAGGACATTCTACGCCCAGTTGCGTGTACAAATATAGCCGAAATGGCAGGGCTGGATGAAAATCTTAGCGGCACCTCCTCAATCTCTATCTGACTTTTCAGACAATGGTAATAAAAATAAATTATTTTTGTGATTTGTGGAAAAATGACCAAGATTTAAGATTTGCACTAGAGACCACTCATTGAAATGTATCTGTGAACTGCCATCTTTTCTTTTTTCCTTTTTCTTCTTTTTCTTTTTTCTTTCTTCTTTCTTCTTTTTTCTTTTTTATTTCCTTTCTTTTCTTTTTTCTCTTTTCTTTTCTTTTCTTTTCTTTTCTTTTCTTTTCTCTTTTCTTTTCCTTTTTCCATTTTTCTTTTTTCTTTTCTTCTTTCTCTTATTTTCCCTTTCTTTCTCTTCTTTTTTCCCCTCCCTCTTTTCTTGTCTTCTCTGAAATTCCCATTTATGACGTTTAGGCCCCAGTGCCAGAGCCTTCACTCTGTTACACCGCCTTGGACACAGACTGGGTCCCGTGGGGCGAGGGCTGTTGTCCCTCCAGCGGAAGCAGGATGAGACCCGTGGGGCTGAGCAGCCCTGGCAAGGGCACCACGTTCTGCTGTTACCCGCCGATACCGTCCGCAGCAAAATGCACAGCTGCCCCAGCCTGCTTCAGGTGGGTAAAATTCCCAGGCAGCGGCCCAGGCAGGCGGAGGACCAGGCGGAGAGGAGCATGCCTGATGGATACTCTGGCGTTTGTGTGAAAAATTCTCAGGGAAAATTCTTTCTCTCTCTCTCAGGCCCCTAAACTCTTTGTGAATGGGGCCAGTGCAACATGTGGCCTTTCACCTCGCCCAAGAACCACTGCCAGACAGCCACACTCAGAGAATTGTTTGTTAATAGTCCAATTAGATAATTGCCATCTTTCACTCCTTTTGCTCTACATTTCCCATAAAGGAATGAATAAGGAGAGCAGCATGAAGAGGGCTTCTGCCCTGCAAGGTGACAAGAAGGACTGGAGCATGCTCTTTGCACAAGGCCATTTGCTTGAATTGAATCATTGTAGCCTAATCAATGGTCTTATTGGATTACTGGCTGTTGCGGTTCTCAAAGATATTGTAGCAGAGACAATGAAATAGCTAGAGTAAAACTTTTTTATCCTTTAGTGGATCACGCAGTTGAGATTTTTCACGGGCTATCTCTCCCTCCTTCCCTTCCTCTCTCCCTCCCTCTCTCCCTCTTTCTCCCCCTCTCCCTTTCCCCCCCCCCCTGGATCCACTGCACACAAAGCTGGCTTTTTTTTTTTCTTTCTTTTTTTTTTTTTTCAATGAGCAGGCTCTGCGAATAGGTTCAGTGTTTGCGAAGGTGCAGAATTAGCACACACACATGCACGCACACATACACACACACACAGAGGGAGAAGCACAAAAAGCAAGTATCGGGACTGAAATAAGGAGAGGTAGGAGTTTAAGATGGCTGTCTGTGGGGAGATGTGTTAAGGAGGATTTCTGCTGGCCAAGATAACCTGCTTCCTTGGAGAGACCTGCTTGAAGGAAGAACTTTTTGTGTGTGTGCGTGCTGGGGATCTGTTTGTTTGTTTAGAATTCAGGGGGCTTTTTTTTTTTTTTTCCACCCCCCTACAACTGACTTTTTCCAGCCCTTCCTGCCAGCTTTCTTCAA